AATTTTTTTTTTTTTTTTTTTTTTTTTTTTTTTTTTGTTTAACTCTTACTTGATATCAAGGGCACTTTTATTTTTGTTAGTTATACTAAAAGTACTGTAGAGAACTTGTATCTTGAGCTTGCATCTGACAGTATTTGTTAGTGTAGCCCTGTGTTTTTTGCATACATGGTTACTCGCACATTGAATCTCAGTCTTAGATCAGAGGCTGGCAACCTTTCACCTCTGGCAACCCAGCCTGAGCAGCAGGCTGCAAATCTCTGCCCACTGGAATGCCCAAGGGCATTGGGGATGGGCAGATTCTGCAGTGAGGGTCAACACGGGTGCAAGAGAGCGCAAGGGAGGGCTGTGGAGCAGATGAGTGGCATGACGCAGCTTTGTGCCACCAATCCCCCAAGCTGGATCAGACCTTCATGATCTGGCCCATCGATTATTAAGATGCTGACCCCTGTCATAGATCAATGGAAAAGAGCTATAGATTAGACAATGCCTTGGGTAGCCAGTCTTGGGGAGTGACATTATACCCTCTGTAACAGAAAGTTACTTTATGGCTTAAAGATGTTGCAGTCAGGAAACCGGATATTTGGCATAACTTTGCCTAGTCTTCATTTGTTTTATTCCCAGATAACCGTCTAGATCCACACGGACAGTTTTTTGGGTTTGGGTTTTTTGGGTTTTTTTTGTTTGTTTGTTTTTTACATCCTAAGTTGTTTTCACCTTAGTTGTCCCTGTAGGCAGTCTACTGATAATTGGTTCTTACCTTTTCACATAAATCAATATCTGTCCCATAACAGTTGTTTTTAAACTGCTTCTAATTATCTTCAGTTTTGTGATATAAGACTGCTCAAAACTTAGTGGTATGCTGTAAGAATAATTTTACTAGGGCTGTACAGAGAAGATAATCCCTCTGTCTTCCTCTCATATAATGCCCGACATTTTATACAAATGTCTTTTTCCATAATACACTAGAAGCTTACATCTCATTTGATGCTTACTGTCACCTTGTGGGTGCTGATAGTAGTTCCAGCATCAATACTTACTTATTCATTTTTCTTTTATTATATGTATGTGGCACTTATTCTTTGAATATGTTGGCATGGTTTTTTTTTTTTCCAGGTTGAATCTCCTCTCTTCTTACCCAAGTTTCTTACCTACTTAGGTTATATTCCATGTCAAAATCTAAAGATTTTTATACTCGTCTCACTTGGGTTCACATCTACGTGTACTTGTTTTGCTTTTTGTCATAGTCAGATGCACGTTTCAAGTGAAATCCAGCTATGCTCCTTATGCAGAGACGTCTTTGTGTACTATTATTTGTGCATAGCTAGTTTGCATTCTGCCAAACTTGAGAGAGATCATCTGGATATTTTTTATAATTCTCTTCTCCCCCCAAGTTGATTTTCATCTGTTCTAAGCATACAAAATGTGCAAGTGTCTTTGAAGAGTCTTCCCATATTGAGAATTGAATCCCAATTTGTCCAGTCTTTTAGGTTTTAACTTAAAGTTCCTGAAGAAGCGATAGAAATCCATTCCTTTTATTTCACTCAAGAAAATACAACAAAGACATTTGTAGAGAACCACATTTTACCACTGCTTATGCTGTGGCTGTGTGGATTAGATTGAAGGAACAGATGGTATATGGATTTTTCTAGATTTAGAAGAAAAAAGCCAAGGTTAAATCAGGCTTAATGTAGGTAAAACCTATGAAGTTAGAGAAAAGGTGACAGCAAACTATACACTGTCCTTAAGCCAAGAGAACTGTAAGCCTAGGAGGAGCACCCAAACATTTGTAAAGCTTGAGTATTTGGTGGAAGAAATTGGAAACCATATACTCAAAATGACTAAATCAGTTGTTTCTTTTAAACACTTCATTTTTCTTTTTATTTTTCTTTTGCTTTTTTTTTTTTTGTGCTTCATTTTTTTAGATGCTTTTTCCCTTCTGCTGTAGTTCTTGCACACAGTAGAGCTCAATTCACATTTGTAACTCAGACTACTGATGCAGGATTAAGTGGGGTACATGATAGCGGCTTTTAATCTTTGACAGGGTGCCATAAAGAAGAGGGAGAACAGTTCTCTTTTGCCGTGGGGGCCAGGATGCAAAGCCGTGATTTTAAGATACAACTGAGTAGATTTTCATAAGACCACAGGAAAAATTTCCTTACTGTTAGCAGAGTAAAGCAGTGGAATAGACTGTCCAGGGAAGTCATAGAATTTCCTTCTTTGGAAGTTCTCAAGAGGAGTCTGGATAAGCATTTGTCTGGGTGGGATCATCTAGGAATAGACTTCCTGCATTCGTACTGGGATTTGGAGGTCTCTTCCAATTCTATGACTAATTGAGAGACCACTGGCTTGCAGAAATAAGTAAAAGGAACTGGTGAATATGTGAGATGCAATCATCTGGCACGTGCTAGGATATTTGCATGCAGTGTACCTTAGTAGAAAGGGGCGCCTTTGTACATACTGGTTACTTTTGCATTACTTGTAGACAATCTTTCTTTTTATTGTAGGTGTGGAAGGGGCAGCTTTCCAGAGCAGACTTCCACATGATCGTATGACATCTCAAGAAGCTGCCTGTTTCCCAGACATAATCAGTGGCCCACAGCAGACTCAGAAGGTGTTTTTATATATCAGAAACCGCACAGTAAGTGTCAAGTTATTGGGAAAACTGATGAGAAGTATAAGAATTTCTTATCTAATAACTTCCTAAGAATGACTCCCACGTCTAGTAGTTACAATCTGATGGTGGTTTGATAAGTTGGTGGTCTTGTTCCATTTCAGAAACCCCATCGCACTGGTCATTAAACTAGTTTTTATCTAGCTCTGGGTTGAGGCAATATAGGGTAATCCTTAACTGGTGTTGCTCTTGAATTGTAGATGCCATGAATGCTCTAAAGTTTGATGCAGTTCTATTGCTAGATTTCTTAGGGGTTTTTTTAACTTCTAGAAAATTGTTATTTAGTGTAGAAACTTTATTCAATCTCAAGCTAAAATTGAGTTTCTTAATGAGGCTTGAAAAATACCATTGGATGCTGTTGCTTGAGAGCAATAAAACATTTTTTACTTTTTTGGGGAAAAAAATAAGTGCTTATACATTCCCAACTGAAGCACCTTTGCAACCTGGAAAGTCTGAAAAGCGAGTCATCCCAAGAATTGTTCCTTAGACCTCCTGAGTTCCAAAAATGTCCTCTTCCCCTTGTTGAGTCTGCTTCTCTATTACCCTACATTTTGGGTATTTTAGTCTTTCTCATTAGGTAAAGTGGGTGGGGAGGATTTTGCCCCTTTATATACCCATGTACAAGACTGCAGATGGTATAGAGCAACATGCTTAGAGCCCTGGGGCACAAGCTTTCCAACAGCCTGTAATTCTTTAGGCTTTTAAGTCTTGCACAAATGAGGGCACTAAGACAATGTGTGTTAAGTTTGATTTAATGGACTTTTCTAGCAGCACAGAGATTTTGTGGCAACACTGGGAATAGAACTCTATGGGTAGGGCCTGATTCGCCAGGGAGAAATGCCTTCCCAGTGCAGAAAATGTATGAGAGAGGTGAAGAATAGGCTCCCTCATACAATTGCTATATAAATGGGGCTAATAGCAAGACAAAACCTACAAGGTTGCTATGTAGTCTGCAGCACAATCCTTTTTGAAGGATCCTTTTGAGCATATAGTAATCAACTCCTCTTGTTGCAGTGGCAGGGGACTGAAAGTGCTGCCTTCTCTTCTGCTTGTTATAGGGTTAGAAGCATGTTAGTATTTTCGCTGTTGTGTAGCCGTATGTAAAGGCATGACATGGTAATTAGGGGGATTCTTGGGGTAAATGATTGCCTGTGAATGCAGGGGACTGGACTCAGTAACTCAGGAGGTCCATTCTGACCTTTGTTCCTGTATTGCAGCCAATCAGATAAGTAATACCTCTAACTTGTATGGGGAAACTACTTGGGAATAACACTTAAGTCGGAAATCCAAACACCAGAACTTAGGAAATGCTGAAAGTAACAGATTTTTTTTTTTTCCCATGCATGAACAAGCTTAGTTAAGATTGCATGGTATTCTGATATGTCCATTTAGTAACCTTAAAGTGTATGCTGGGGGCATCATTCTCTCTTTATTTGGGCTGGCATGTAAAAATAAATCAGTGAATACTACTGTCTAAGAAAAATGAAAAAGGATAGCTTAGAAATGTTTCAGTAAAGGGTGAGCTTTTTGATTTATAAATTGAAACTCAGTTGCAGTGTTTTATAAGGTCAAGGTGTACTTTCAGTCTGTGAATCTCTCCATGTAAACATATCACACATACTGGTTTTGTTTAAATACAGTTACAGCTTTGGTTGGACAACCCAAAGATTCAGCTGACATTTGAAGCAACTCTCCAACAATTAGAAGCACCTTATAACAGTAAGTCAACTCTTTCTTGATACAAGCTCAGGATTTTTGTTGTTTACTTTTTTCCCCTGCATTGCTGTTGCTTGTCAATCTTGCTGATTTGGTAGGGAGTTGGGTTTGCATACTCATGGCATGTGTGAGTGATTTGTTATTTTTTGTAAGGCTGAGCTTCATCCTTTGAGTAATGAGTTCTCTTATATATTTACTAGTTTCTAATATAAATCCTGTAAATTATTAAAAGGACATATTACTGTCATCTTACTGGTGTCAGAGGTCATTTTTATACATGCATGTGCTGCACCACTGAGCGTTTTGAAAAGCACCTGGTGCTGCAACGCATGCAGCTGTATAAGCGGTGAAATGCGTGTCAGCACACAGAAAATGGCAGTGGTCCGCTTTTAAACTAAAATACATCAAAGGTGTTTTAGTTCAAAAGTGGGCCGCTGCCATTTTCTTCGTGCTGACTTGCATCTCTCATTTGTACAACTGCAAGCGACAGCTTGGCGCGCATAAGCTCATATGCAGAGCAGACTCAAACTTAAATTGAGTCTGCTTAGACATGCCATATCATTGATGCGTTGCAGCGTGAAAAAGTACATGTATAAATGCCCAAAGCGTTTCCCATCCTGCCATTAATCTGCGTGGAACATGGTGACCATTTTCAGACTGGGACTGTTATACTCCAAATATTCCTTTCACAAAGCAGTCCCATATGAGTGTGCAAGTATGAATTGTTTGTACAAAGTAATTGCATACATAATTTAATGTTTTTTATTCTGTAGGTGACACCGTGCTAGTTCACAGAGTACACAGCTATCTGGAGCGGCATGGGCTGATCAACTTCGGCATCTACAAAAGGGTAAAGCCCCTTCCAAGTAAGCAGCTCATAAACTTATTGCAGATTAAATAATTATGCTTTCCTGGGATTTAAATCACATTTTGGGCTTTATTTTTTATATCTGGGTAACAAAGGCACTTTGTTTAATGGCTGGTTTGGTTCTCCAGTTTTCCTTTTTTGGGTAAATAAAATGTAGTTCCAGGAAAATTGCTTGAAAAATTTGAAGGTATTTTGTGTATTTGAATTCCTTTGTCACTCCTCATCACGAGTGCTTCCTGTGTATATTCAGTTAGCACAAGACAGGAAGATTTTACATGCTGAATTTTTTTCTTACTTTCTTTTTGTTGGCAGCTTTACATATCAAGTGTTTATACACACTTGCAATGTGCTTAACCCAAATGAAGTAACTAATAAATGACCATTTTGTTGTGCAAAAACAATACATTTTCCTTGCTTAATAAACAGATTGAGGTAAAACCATTTTTTTTTCAAATTTTGTACAGATGTTAGTTGTGATAAGTGAAAAAACCAACAAAAATTTCCTTTGAATGATTGTTCATGTGTACTTTCCACTGTGAGGTGTGCATGTGCTTCACACATTTTGAGATCAAAGCCTTTGCTTAGCAGTATTCATCTGGTGTGCTGGAGCCGTGCTTCGCCTTGTGCTTTGCATGCCTTCTGCTTTTCATTTCCCTTCGACCATTACCTGGCTCAAGATGGAGTGTTCCTGCTGTCCTTGGAGGTTGCAGTTTTTTGCCTCAAAGACAGATTCCTATCTGTTTAAGTATGGCTCTTTGACAGGTTTTCTTTAGAAGCATGCCAGCTATCATTTTTGCATTCATTCTTCAGAGCCAAAGAAAAGACAGTTTCCCTAAGACCAAATAGCCTTTCCCAACAAGCTTGTTGACCCGCTTGTCCCTAAGCCTGAAGCCTCCTTCCAGTATAAACTGCGGTCTAGCTTTCTGGTCTTCATCTTTGATCCTTCAGGAACTGTTTGGGTCCAGATTGCCAGAGACTAGTGGGTCCTAAATACGTCATCTGGGTATATTTTTCTGCCTAATCACAATCCCTGTTCTGTGTCCTCTTTGGTAACCTCTCTTCTAGACCACGATTTGAGGCAGTTTCCGTGAAAAGCAGCGTTCCCTGCAATTTTTGGCAGAATGTCCAGGAGAAAAAAAACATACTGAAAATTAAAATGCTAGCTCCCTAGTGGGAGCCAGCAGTGTTGACAACCACTGACACACACAGGGAGCCAAGATGATGATTGCCCCCTCCTCTCTCTGGTGCTGATTGACTGAGTGGGCTGCCTGTCATGTAGCCTTGCCCCTCTCTACCAATCAGCATCAAGGAGCAGAACCACAGGAATGGCAGCCCTCTCAGCCAATCAGCGGTGTGTGGTGGGGCTGCCATCCTTGGCCAGTCAGCGGCATGGGGGGGGGGGGTCTTGCTGCAAAAAAAAC